CTTCAGGACAGACCGAGTCCGGAAGCCGTTGATGGGACGTGACCAGGCCGCAGTCCGTGAGCTCCGGAGAGAACATGTAAGCCTCGCGAGGAAAAAAAAGAGGAAGCCGGAAAAAGGAAAAAAAAAAGGGAAGGCGGTAGAGGGATAGTAAACAAAGAAGCGAAAGACCCAAAAGTAATAACGTCAGGGAGGGGTGAGATAGAAAGGGAAGAGAACGTGAGAGATATCGACGTTCACTTGAAGGGATATGTTCCTCTCGCAATTGGTCACATTATGCATCAGCGTTTTTTTGCTGTAGGAAACCTCTCATGCGCGGGCTTCCTCGTTGCGGTCCTGGCGTGGGCGGCCGCCTTGTTGGTTGCCCTTGCCGCCACGCTGGTTGCGCTGCTCGCCGGTAGCGGGGCCTTCGCCGCCGCCGCCGAGGGTAAGCTGGGCGGTTGCTAGCCGGGTGGAAAGCTCCATCTGTGTGCGCACGGTGTTGGCGAGGTAAGAAACGACCAGGACGTCCTGGATGTGGTTGTTGCTGTGGAAAGTTAGTGGTAAGAAACATCGGGGAATATGATGCAGTTTCAACATACAAGTCACGCTCAATGTCGGCAGCCTCAACCTTGGGGGCGAGAGCGAGAGCGTTAAGCAGGAACTGGCCCATGGCGGTGGAAGCAGGGGTCTCCTCGTCGATCACGGACTCGACGTAGCGCGAGACACGGTCGACCATGGACAGAACCTCCTCAATGGCGCGCTCGAGAGACTCAATGTCGGAAGTGACGGAAGCGGAACGATCCTCGGCATCCTTGGCGTTGGCGATAGACTCAAGACCGCTCTTGTCGGCCTCGCCGTATCGGAGTTCGTAGGGAACGGGGATGAAAGCAGCGCTGTCGGCAGCACGCTCAGCGGTGACACCAACGGGGGCGGAAATGTAGGCGCGGGTCTCGAGATCCTTTCCAGCCTCGGTGGAGACAGTCAGGTGGACAGCGGGGTGAGGCCAGGTACCATCACCCTGGCCGCTGTAGAAGTTCTGGATCAAAGCGGAGAAAGTGTTGAGTTCGGAAGCAGTGGCGTACCAGCCAACCAAGACTTCGCGGGGGTTGGCCTTCAGGTGCAAAGCGAGCATCTGCTTGTGGTATTCCATATCGACCTCGACCTGGTCCTCAGCCTCGGAGTGGCCGACAGCGAAGGCTGATCGGACCTCAACCTCACTTCCATCCTCAGATCGTGTTCCGAGCAGTGTACCGATGACACGCTCCTGGTCGGCATTGCGGCGAAGAGAGTGGTCGAGAACTGAGAAGATAGCCTTGGAGAGAAATGAGCTTTACCCCTCAGATCATATAGCACACACATATCGCAACATACCTGGGGTTGAATGACCACGTTCAGAGGGGCAGTGGTAGGAGCGGTCCCCACGCTAACGGGGCCGAGGGGGCGAGCGAGATGAAGGAAAGAATCTTCGGCCATGGTGAATTTTGTGTGATGGAATACCTTGCAAGTTTCAAGATCCAAACTTCCCTTCGTTTCTCGGAGGTTCAATTTTTCCTTGGAAGTGGAGTGAGCCGCTCTGATTGTTCCGATTCTGTTGTGTGTGGGAAATTTCGCGCTAAGATAAGATAAGCCCCCAAAATTCTCATTTCGGCCAGAACAGCTTGGAATTGCCCAACCTTTATTGATTATTCACAATTATGCCTGCTCCTCGTGGTGGTTCTTTTAGAGGAGCTCGAGGCCGCGGTGGCCGTGGTGGCAGAGGTCGAGGTCGCGGCGGTCGTGGTGGTCGTGGAGGTCGCTCCTTTGCCACTTCGCGATTGAACGAGTCCGAGTAAGTTCTCATTGTCCGAAGTCTTTAATGATTGTTTCTAATAACTACTAGATCAGACGGTTCTTCTGGAGAAGAAGACTCTAGCGAGCAATCCGAGGAGGAATTTGGCGATGACACCCTTATGGACGAGGGCGCCTCCAGCAGCGAGGAAGAAGACGAGAATACCGAACGCCCCTACAACGAACTCCTCCAGCTACTTCAACCCAATGAGCCAAGCGGGCCAGCTCGGAAGAAGCGCAAGATCGCCACCGACTCCAATGCCGAGATTCAAATGGCAGAACCCGTAGAGGAACCAGAGCAGGGCGATGATGACTTGGTAGCCCAAGCGCCATCCGACGATGAAGAGGAGGAAGCAGACGAGGACGAGGACCCAACTGCCGCTTTTGAAAAGCACTTCGATCTCCGTGATAGTGCAGATTTAGCCAAGCAGGTCGAGCCTATCCAATCGAACAAATGGGCATCCGTTAAGAAAGAGGTCGATGGGCTTCGGCTGGTACATACTGTTCCTGACACGGGAGCAAACAGCGCATCAATTCTTCCCCCAATGAAGAGCACAACCAATATCAAGGTATGCAGAACAGCAATGGTTTTTATAGTCCCTTCAATACTAACATGCAATCGCGCAGCTCAAACAAAAATTGAAGTCTCGTGCGGCCGAGATCCTACCCAAAATCACCGGTCAAGCCCAAATCATTGCGCCATATGTGTTCGACTACCAAGACGTCCTCTACGGTGCCCGCACTGCTTCCAATGCAAATGAGATGCGCGAGATGATTGCTTTGCACGCCGTCAACCATCTGCTGAAGACCCGAGACCAAGTCCTTAAAAACAACGCCCGTCTATCCAAGGACCCGGACACCGACATCGAGTGCCGTGACCAGGGATTTACCCGACCCAAGGTTCTCTACATCCTGCCCACCCGACAGGCATGTGTTAAGGTTCTCGATGCGATCACTCGGATTTACCAGCCTGAACAGCAAGAAAACAAAAAGCGCTTCACCGACTCCTTCTCAGCACCAAATGATGATTCCTGGGAGCACAAGACCGAAGATTTCCGGGAGCTTTTCGGCGGTAATGACGACGACATGTTCCGACTGGGTCTCAAGTTCACGCGCAAGACAGTCAAATATTTCGCCCAATTCTACAGTTCCGACATCATCCTAGCCAGTCCACTGGGTCTGCGTACGATTATGGACCAATCCGACGTCAAAAAGCGCGATCATGACTTCCTCTCTTCGATCGAGATGGTGGTTGTCGACCACGCCGATGCCCTTCTCATGCAAAACTGGGACCACGTTGACTACATCTTCCAGCACCTGAACCTGCAACCGAAACAGGCTCACGGTTGCGACTTCGGCCGCGTCCGCAACTGGTACTTGGACAACCAAGCCCGTCACGTCCGACAAACTGTAGTCGTCTCATCCTACATCACCCCCGAGATCAACGCCCTCTTCTCATCTCATATGCAAAATGCCTCGGGCCGCCTCAAGGTAACACCCATCTACGCCGGCGCCATCACCGAGCTCCCGCTCGCAGTCCCTGTCAAGCAAACCTTCACCCGCATCGACAGCACGTCGCCCATTAAAGACCCCGATGCGCGCTTCAAGCACTTCACAACAACCATCCTGTCCACCCTGGTGAAGAACATCACTCACGGCCGTGGCAAGGGCGGTGCCGGTACCCTTATTTTCATTCCCTCATACCTCGACTTCGTCCGCGTGCGCAACCACTTCGCCACCTCCACACAGACAACCAACGTCTCCTTTGGCGCTATCTCCGAGTACACCGAGTCGAAGGAGGCTAACCGTGCCCGCAGTCATTTCGTGTCCGGCCGCCACTCTGTGCTACTGTATACCGAGCGTGCGCACCACTTCCGCCGTTACCAGGTCCGTGGTGTTAAGCGTGTGGTCATGTACGGGCTCCCGGATAATGCGCTGTTCTATGGCGAGATTGTCGGGTACTTGGGCCTTGATCCTGCTGCATTGATCGAAGCTGCTGAGGGTGGTGTTCGTGCGCTGTTCTCGAAGTGGGATGCGCTGAAGTTGGAACGTATTGTTGGTACGTCGAGAACTGGAAATATGTTGCGGGAGAAGGGGGGTGATACGTTTACTTTTGTATAAACAGGACTTGTGGATGCTTGTAAGGTAGATATATGAACCATTCCTTTATACCACTTCATCTTTGCGGTTATTTTTATTTATTTGTATTATGCCAATTTCCGAGCCATAACTATGCTGTATCATGTCCAAGTCTAATATCTAACATTGTATGCAACCCAATTTCAATCATTACATCCCGATTAGCTCTCCCTAGTTCTGATATCCTGGCCAGAGATATCTGATTATCACTGCTGACAGCGTCTCAAATTTGGTGCGGGTAGCTTAGGGGCCAGGAAAGACTAGGGAAGTGTTTGATAATGGCTGTAGGTTGCGGTACAGTCAATCATTGTGCGTGGAAAGACGGTACTGGGATTTGAATCTTAATGAAACATGACTGTATACCCCGGATTCTGCAACGGCCAGGCGGAACTCTCGGCTCTCACCGTACCGAGGTATCCAATTTTTTATGCGTTGACAGGGATGCAGAGAACCAAAAAGTCAATGGAGTAACGGGATGGGGTAGCCCATGGGGTTCATACGGTTCACATGTGGAATTCTCAGTCTGAGACATAAGTTTAACTTCGGGTTTCAATGTTCGGCCCCGGCGTTTGGCCTCGTGTAGACGGGGAATTACCTGAACCAGTACGGAAGGGTGTTCAGGGTTTCCGCCTTGATAGACCCTAGTGGGGTTAAACCCCGTTGATCCCTACCTAGGTATACCATGTAAATAATTTCCGTCTGGGCCTCCAATTAGCTTTTGCACTACCCGGGTAGAATATGGGGTAGTCTAAGCCCATCTACCATGGGGCGCGCTTGTGCAGAGCGACGTCAGTGGAGGAGAAAGCTCGGGGATACTGCCGATCACCGTGTACCTGCCCTTCCAGTCCTTTCTCCGTATTCTTTTTAACAAATCAATCTAATTTACGATGATCGTTGTTCAAAATGTCTTGGCTAGAGTTTCAAGGATGTCTTGTGTATTTTGTCTGGAGACCGTTGGAAGGACATATAAAGTAGCTAAGAATCCATTCAATTTCAATACCATTCAGTTCAACAACACTCTCTACAGACTTCCTGCTTATAGTTCATACCACAAGATGCGTTCCATATCCTCACTTGCCTTTCTGTCCGCGATTGGAGCAGTCTCCGCCCAAGTTGCGAGCTCGGCACCATCGTCAACTTTCTCGACTGCCGTTTCTTCGACCGAAGACCCTTCATCGACTGTGTCTGGAACTTTTTCTACCTCCCTGAGCTCTTCTCAGGCCGCTGGTAGCAGCTCTTTTGCCAAGGTGGATGGTCTCAAGTTCAACATTGACGGCGAAACCAAGTACTTCGCTGGCACGAATGCGTATTGGCTGCCATTCCAGACCAAGGATGCTGATGTTGACTCTGTTTTCAAAAACCTGAAAGAGTCTGGTCTTAAGATTCTCCGAGTTTGGGGTTTCAATGACGTTAACACCGTCCCTCAGGATGGGACAGTCTACTTCCAGCTCCACGACAAGGCCACCGGTAAAACTACCATCAACACTGGCGCTGATGGTCTAGAGCGTCTTGATTACGTTGTTTCTGCCGCTGAGAAGCACGGTATCAAGCTTATCATTCCCTTTGTGAATTACTGGGAAGACTACGGTGGCATGGCAGCCTACATTACTGCCTACGGAGGCAGTAAGACGGATTGGTATACCGACAAGAAGATCCAAAGCGTATACCAAGCGTACATCAAGGCCGTTATCTCTCGATACGAGGATTCTGCAGCTATCTTTGCGTGGGAGTTGGCTAATGAGCCTCGCTGCGCGAGCTGCAATACCGATATCATCGCTGACTGGGTTGCCAAGACTTCTGCCTATATTAAGTCCCTCGATTCTAAGCATCTGGTCACTACCGGTGAAGGTTTGTTTATGTCCTTGTGATAACCAATGCTGTGAATAGATTCTAATCCGTGTTATAGAGGGCATGGGCCTAACTGTTGGGTCGGATGGGTCTTACCCATACACCTACAAAGAAGGAAGCGACTTTGCCAAAAACCTTGCAGCCCCTGATATTGATTTCGGAGTCTTCCATCTCTACACGGCTGACTGTAAGAGCCCAAGCATCCTAAAGGCGCAAAATACTAACCTATCCTAGGGTCAATCGAAGATAATGAGTTTGGCAACCAATGGATCGAATCACACGCCAAGGTTTGTGATGCTGCTGGGAAGCCCTGTTTGTTCGAGGAATATGGCATCAAGAATGACCACTGCTCGGACTCGCTGAAGTGGCAGAAGACCGCCTTGGCTACCCACGGCAACGCTGCTGATCTTTTCTGGCAGTATGGCCAGGAGCTATCCACCGGTCCTTCTCCAGATGATAAATACACTATCTACTATGGCACTGACGACTGGAAGTGCACCGTCACTGACCATGTCAGTCAGATCTAGAAGTGGAAATGCTTGAATACCATGCTGAGGACTGGATCTAAGTGGGTATCCTTCAGGCTCTTCAATCTCTTGTTGTGTTTATTGCTCGATTCAATTCATTTAAACCATGCATTGCTAGGGACGAGCATCGTTCATATTTGTGAATTAGATTTAGAAATATCAGGTTGGCATTACTGATTATAAGGGTTGCCTGTGAGTTGTCTTATAGTATGGCCTACTCGAAATGTACAAAACGTGGAATTCCCTTCTGTATGTGTAATTAAATCTTGTTATAAGCTCTTAATGAAGTAATCCTTCGTATGGACGAGTCTGTGGTTCGGCTGAATCAACCGCTAAGCGAGTTTTAAAATCGGTAGGAACGGCGCCTGCTTTCCCTTCAGTATCGCATATAGTCGCACTCTCTAAGCTGTGAGGCCTTAGGTGTGCTTGAGAACTTCCTGCCGGTTTATAATGGCTTTCTGGGTTTTCAAGGATAGTGGTAAATCGGTAACTGTCCCGATTTAGTCCTCCGTTATATTCGATAAATCAAATCACCAACGGAGATCAAAGCAGCGACGTGGTGGTAGGATAAATATCTATGAGCTTCTCCTCCAACTCAGAATAGTCAGTATCTTAATAATTTGGCTCTCTACGAATATTCACAACGCCTGTCTCTGACATTTGTCTCGAAGTCAGAAGTCCGTGGGACTACTCCACGGGGTTAAATGTGGGGGGTTGGCAAGGTCTACTCCAGTATGCCGATGTCACTGCGCCGGCAGAGTATGCAAGCCCTCGGGAGCACATCCTCTTGGAGGTATTCTCACGTGGGGGTGGGTAATGTAGGGTGGGTTGTGTGTTTGTGTGTGTAGATTGAATGTGGGTTAAACAAGGTTTGTATATACAGCAATGTGGCGCTCCACCACACTGACTACAGCACAAATTCCAGATCCTTTCTATACAAATTACATATTTAAGAGGCCCAAAATTGATTCTTGACCATATACCTCCACGATAGTAGATCGGTATTTGAACCACTTATTATCTTGCAAAATCTTGGTCACTTCAGTGCCTATAAAAATCATCATCCTCTAGTCGTGCTACAGCAATTATCACGTCTTTATCTTCACTTGCCAACCGAATTACGTCAAAATGCCGCAGCAGCCGCCAAAGCACCTCCAGCTGGATGTATCAAAGATCCCGAAGCTTGATCTTAACCAGGCAGGTCATTTGCGCCACTTCCACAACCTTGCCTGGCAGATTGATGGTGAATGGCGAAACATGGGCACACAAGAGCCAGCTCAAGAGTGGTTAGAAGCCTATAGGTATCAACTATCCTCCATGGCTTATGGTGCTGGTGTGGCGCACTTTCATCGACTTCCGGCATTGAGGAGCGTTTTCAAGCCTCTCATACGGCGTCTGATACATAAAATGCTCCGGCGGGAAGTATGGGGTTACTGGTTTAACACCAGTCTTGCGGGCAATCGCACCGATCCTGGTCGGACTGAGTTGAGGAAGCCTTGGGCAGATCCGGTTGTGCGTGAAAATATCATGTACAGTGGACATCTTCTCCTGATGACAAGCTTGTACGCCATGCTATTTGACGATGATGAATTCGAGAAGGAGCGCTCCCTCACATTTCGTTGGGACCCTCTATTCTTTGGACTCGGTACAGAAGAATTTTCGTACGATAACCGAAGCTTGCAGGCTGCAATCATGGCGGAAATGGAGAGAAATAATTGGATTGGGGTCTGCTGCGAGCCCAACCTGGTTTTCGTCGTCTGCAACCAGTTCCCGGTAAGTCTATCTCTGTTAGCTGTGCTTATCCGCTCCACCACTGACTATTATTTAAGATCATAGCTATGCGATATAATGATACGAGAGATGGTACGGCCGTGGTTGATGACGTCCTTGCAAAATATAAACACGCATGGAATCAAAAGCAGATGATCGCACCGAATGGCTTGTATGTTGATTGGTGGTACGTGAATCAGGATCAACCCGAGATTCCGAAACAAGTTGGGCTCACTGCAGGGTATGTAATTCCGACGTTCTTAGGGTTGGGGAGTTCAGCAAGTTAACAATGACCTAAGTGCGAATGCCTTCATGAATGCCTGGAACTCCGACTTGGTGAAATCCTCCTTCGAAAAACAGTCATTCGGTTATATAACAAATATCGATGGGGAAATCCGTCTCAATTCGCCAACATTAGCGAACGTCTACAGAGACATTGCAGGATCCGACCCCGAAGACGCAGCACTGCTTTCAAAGGCACTTGGGATCGCTAAGACCATTCCACCTCCCAAATTTCCTTACCCTCTCCCAATGTTCGGGTACGTTGTGCAGTGGCTGTCGGAGCTTGGTAGAACGACAGAGTTAGAAGGACTTCTGAAGTATGCGGACACGCACCTCAATCCCACGTGGGAAGAAGGTGGGTTGTTTTATCCGCGAAATGACCAACCAATCGATGACTCTCACCGCTGGTCTTCCATGGATCGATTTACCGGGAATGCGGGAATTGGTTATGCTAGACTGAATGTCAGTGACGGCCAGAAGCTCATGTGGGATGACCCCTGGTCTAAGAGAGTTTTGGCTGAAAGACCATGGATTGACGGCATCGACTTGTCACAAGGCGTTGATTTCCTCCGAGGACATTGGGTCCCCGAGGAAGATGCTTTAGTCTTGACCCTGAAAACTTGGGATGGCAGCGTGGTCGGTTTAGAGGCAACTGCTCACAATCTGGAAAGCGGATCCTGGGCGATTTATGTTGACGGCCGACTGCAACGGTGTGTCAATGTAACTGAAGCGGGTAGTTTCACTTTCAATGTGATTGCTGGAGCAGTTGAATGTGACTATGTACTGAGGAGAATCCCCGAAGTGGATATCTAAACTGGATTCTGAGCCGGACGAGCGTGACCTTTGGAAGTTGTCGAATAACGAGTTGAATACATGGTTGAAACTGGGTATCATACCATGGAAATCTATGACTTTGATCACCAGGCATACCATACCATACAAAAGTATATAACACAGTTGGCCATTGATATCCGCACAGATTGTTGAAATAGTCGGGTTTGTCGTTTCAGTTAAAGCCATACGAATCTACCACTCGTACCATGTATATGTCTTATCATAAAGTTTATTTACATTATATTCTGGGGTACGACCGAAACCTTAAGAGCTTTCATGTAGGATATTTGTACTACTGACAAGTTGCACCTACGTTGGGCTTGCAACTTATAGAAACCTGGATGTAAGATAAAGTACGATATAGATCAACGATATAGTTATAATTCTCTAACTGAAAATAACAACATATGCGGATATAATAACTAAAAGTGAGATGAATTTTCATGTGGGATCAGTATCTGATAACAACTTCTGATAGAAATCTAGCTACATACGGCAGATGTGTGGTATGAATGGCAGATGCGTATGATTTTAACTAAAACGACAAACCCCGCTATTTTAACAACCTGTGTGGATATCAATGACCAACTGTGTTATATACTTTTGTATGGTATGTCTGGTACTCAAAGTTATATAATGTCCGTGGTATAGTTAATAACTTGTATTCGACAAATTCCATTGCCATTCTTATACGTCACGTGTAACAGCGGTACTTGCAGATGATGGAATCATAGAGTATAGTGAACCGTCCGAAGTATTGCGCAGAATTTCGGTACTCCCACATCCACCTTCTATATCTTATAAAATCCCGCCTAATATTTCGGAGGTCTGTGAGAGCAAAGGTGGCACCAGACCAGTTGACCGAACTACCGCTTAACTAAGCGGAGCCGGTTCAACACTCTTGACCGACAACGGTAGATCCAAGTGCCGACCTATGGTCGGAAATAGCAATAGTAATGGAGTAAAATGAACTAATAACTTCGAAGTGGCAGTTGGGCTTTTACCCAGCAAGTATGTCTTCCCACACAGATAAGCCTTTTGCATGCTCTTGGTGCGAGGCCCGCTTTACCAGAAAGGAACACAAGTCTAGACATGAGCAATCGCGTTAGTTGGATACATGAGTGTCTGCTATAATCACCAGCTTACAATAGTCAGATTCTCCAAGGCGATATTTTCAGTGTTCTGTATGCCCCAAGGTCTTTGTACGGAGGTAAGTCCGCCGTCAATTGAAACCCCGAGTATATTTACATAGGAAATTCACAGGGACGTGCTACTACGGCATCTCAAATCGATACACGACTCTGCATTGGCTATAGGAACACCGAGACTAGTCAACCGTACTACTCGCGCGCAAAGCGGAGAACCGGATGAGCCGAACATACCTGTTCGTGACATAGAAGTTTCAGTACCTGCTAGGGCCCATTCGCCCATGTGTGATGCTGAGAACCCCCTTGCTCATACAGAAACATTTCCCTTTCCCGACCTGGTCGGCACCGAATTTGCTGGATCAATGCTAAGTGAGGATCATGGATTTGGCTTCTACAACAATGATTTCGATAATCTTATGGACATACCCGACAATGATGTGTTGATGTTGTGCAACTCTGACGATGACCCTGGCGGTAGCTCGCCTGGACGAACAATGGATTTGGTCTACCACCTTGAAGATACTGGCAGTCAAACAAAACCCGATATTTTCGCTTTAGTCAGTGACACCGACAAGTTCACTCGGTACAAATCTATCACTCAAGGCACGCAGGGTTCATCACAGACTTGCTGGCCCACCAAACTGGCTGCTAGGCGGTATATCCGAGCATATTTTGGTTCTTTCCAGAAACATATACCACTGCTACACGTCCCAACATATCTTGCGCATCAATGCTCGGAGCCACTGCAGTTGGCAATTTATGCGATTGGTGCCCTTCATGTGTATAACGAGACTGAAGCCCGTCGATTATACCGTGCTGGGCACGAAGCTTTCTTGGCTCAAAAGTTACTGCTAGTACCTGTTGAACGACTACAGACCTTACTATTACTTACAATGTTCGGGAGTTTGTCAGACGATGATGATCTACGGGAGGAGATTCTACCTCTCCAAAGCCAACTAGCAGAAGTGAGTCCCCTGCTCATGATAAAAGTCCGTATGCTTAATGAATCCAGGAACTGCACAACATTCCAAAAGATGTTGTGTCGTCTGAATCTAGTTCTTGGGATGTGTGGGTACAGAGGGAAACGTTAAAAAGGTAAGAACTCCTTCAGAGGCCGTAGACCCAAGCTGATTCGTTAAAATAGGACCATTCTGAACATTGTGTGCTTTTTAGGGGTGATGAACGTAGCCTCTTTATCATCATCAATATTTCTTCCGCCATCCTTTGATATCGAATTTCCGTACTCGGAGACCCTTTTTCTCTGTAACAGAGAGGAAGAGTGGGAATACTTGTTCAGTTCTGCCCCCAAACCACAAACCTTTAAGATTGCCTTTCACAATCTAACATCGCTATCCGGTCCTGTGTTACAAATCGATAGTGGCTTGGGCAATCTAGTATTGATGCTTGCGCTATATACGCATGTGAGGTCTTGCAAAACGGTCTCTGCATCGCTCCCGATTCTTCTTGGTCGAGAGATAATTGAAACAAGCACCTTATCACTGAAGCGGTGGCTGAGCTCATTGGGTGGTCCAGGGGTTGCATGCCAAAACGAGCAGACCGGTGCCGACTGTTCCCTCACTGCATCAGCGTTGATTCTATGGAAAGTTGCTACCATTCAGCTCTATGCAGATTTCGCTTCAGTTACAGAAATTCAAGACGCCATTCTAGCACTTTCTACAGGACAACACCATACCATCTCCGCCCTTCACACAATCCAGATCCCGACTCACACAGCCGAGGCCATGGGCCACGCGGTTTCATTCGTCCACGGACCGGTTGTTCGCGGTGTCCAGTTCCTCAAAGCAACTGCATGTGCTGATATTTGCATATATCATGGCCTGATGGGGTTTCACTGTCTTGTTCTGCTGGTTAGATGGTTATCCAGCCTAGAGTCTGCGAGCAAAGCGACTGGAGATCAGTGTACTCACCCGGATGCGCTGCTGTTGCTGCAGAATATTCGCGAATTAGTCGGTGAATCGGACCAGCCCTCAATGGAGAGTCTCCCACTGAGTGCGGCTTGTGCAAAAATTTGGGTAGAAATCCTGAAATCAGACCGCCAAATCTGGGGGGTTAGGAAGCTGCTTTGTACTTATCTTGACAAGCTGATATAGTGAGGCCCATATCGATCTCCTGTATCTTCTGTATTGATTTCCCATTTCTGATCTAAATATGGTAGTCAATAAAGTACTGATCGTTGACAGGAGAAAGGTCAAGAATACTAGTGTGTACTCGATATATTATATGCCTACCAGACGGTCTTTTGACAAGCGTGGGCTTAGTGGAACATAGAACATTTGCTCCGTTTTTCCGGCTAGCCCATGGGCTATTGGTGGGGCACCACTTCCCAGGAGAACTGCCCGAAGAGAAAGGAAAGTTGCGCAGCATGCGAATATGCCAACATCAGACTCGATCTTGATTACTGACAAAAGTGTTGTGAGATTGTGTGGGGCACCAGCACCACCTGGGACTATCACTACTATTGGGGGCCCGAGAATGGGGTGAACTAACGAAGCACGGAATTCGTGGAAGAGTACTTATATAAATCCCTCGGTGCGCATACTCGCTTTTCAAATCAAGAAAACCTACACTGCTCAAGGTACACCGATCCAGAAAATTCCGTTCAATTTTGGCCCGAGGAGGATATTAACTCGAAGTATAGTGAAACAGTATATTCTGGTCGTCTCGATAACGCGTTGTGCTATTATCAATCAGGCGGTCGAGATTTGAACGATTAAAAAATGGACTACCCTGCCTATATAAAGTCATACAACATGACCAACAACGAGCAGCAAACTGGTCTTCAGTTTTTCACTGAAGACGTTCTTCTCGAGGACGGTAATCGCAAGATCCAAGGGCGCGAACAGGTCATCAAAGTGTTGGAAGAGGCCCACAACGGAATCAATGAAGAATTGCAGATCCGTGCTTGGGCACAGACTGGGGAAACTCTACTGGCTGAGCTTGATGGCGAATTTATCAGTGATGAGGATGCGCCGCAGCATTTTTTCTACCCGTTCAAGAAGGGTGAGAAGGTGCGATTCCGCTTCTTGGTGGCATATACGGTGGTTGCAGGGCGATTTTCAAACATTCGGATCACCTACTGGCCATCTCCTATCTCTGCATAAAGTGACCAATGGAGCCCTACCTGTGTGTACTTTTTAGTTGGAGTATACTTCCCACTTGACAGCACAACTGTGGCTATCTATATCTGTCCGCGTTCACTTGCAAATGGTTTTTCCATGTATATATTCACTGGTGACGATATTTGGAGATGTTAGTGCTCAATCTAAGGAATCTCAGAAATCTCACAATAAATGACAGAAGTCTGGCTGTACGGCAAATGTATGGTATACCCGGCACTTGAAGTCACATGGTGCTGGTTATTCTGGACATAGGTTTCTACGCCCCAATGGATTGAAATCTGATACGGTGCATACCAGCCCCTTTAGGTGTAAGAACTATGGTGACAGTGAGCTAGGTTAGGCCGAGGGGGTGTGGAAACCTATGTACTCTGACTATCAACTGAGTATTCGACAATAAATCAAAGTATTCAGTGACCTCGTGGAAGCCAGCGATCTCGTATACTCTGCATCATCTAGTGTGATATCTGGTTTTTATAAGATAATTAAGACAAATCTATGAATCAGGGTGTTATCATTTCTATGTAATTCAAACAACATACATACAATATGGATAGAAAGCCTGAGACTAGTTGTGAAGGTGGATGAATCCCACCAGGTTGGACAGTTGTACGCACCACCAGCGCCTCCATATTTTCTACTTTCTTCTCTGGATGTCTTCTTCCACTTCAGAGACTCCAGATGTAGATCCAGCTAGCTCAATGCACTTCATTCTTTTCCCTGCTGTTCCTCTGTTTCGGATGTACTGAATCTCTTGATGCCACGAGAAAAGGCCAGAAGACTCTACTCTCGGTGGGACACATATTCGAGGAGTGAAACGGTATTGACTTTTGTCAGGTCCAGCTCTTGGATGTGGTATTTCGCGACTTTGCTGGTATGGAAGGGGTCGGTTTCGGTAATCTGAGCCATTTGGTCTGCCGACTCTGCCACTGCAACGCACACTCCGCCTGTGAACGGGACCTTGCGGGCAAACAGCAGATAGACCTTCCGCTCATATTGCTCCTCTAACCAGGCTATGTGAGCTGGCAATTGCTTCTCTACTTCTTCAAGAGAAGAGAGGTAGGATACGGAGAGCAAAAAACAGGGCATCTTCAAGTGGTTTGTCTTGAACAATGGTGCAAAGCGTTTAGGTAGACCAACAAAGTCAAGGACAGAGGCGAGGATAGATTCTCTGCCAAACTATAGGCTAAAATATATAACTTCTCGGTGGAGCACCACATTATCATCTAAGCTGCCCGCTTTCCATCCCATTGCCCCAACCTAGCGCTCCAAGAATCGGTTTGTTTCTTGCCTAGCATGATTCCCGGATTTGGCTACACTCCGCCCTAACCAAAAACCAACATTAAACTACCCTGACCAAAGCATTAATCAATGACACACCGTAACTGACTAATGCCAAGTCTAATGATAAATCAAATTGCAAAGGGGGCATATATATTTCAACTTTGGTTCTAAGAGTGCCGACATCTACGGTAATTGTGCCAGAAATAGAGTTTGCTTCCAAGTACGGCAATGAATAGACGCAAATTCTTGATATTCTTTTTCGGATTTGCGGAACGGGCAGATGTGGTGCCCCACGGCCCCTAACATGCGAACCCGGGGCCATATGGAGCTCTGCTCCATATTTTCCCTCATAACACTGCCAGAGCGAAATGCCGATTTGCGAGAATGGTATCTACATAATTTATCGGATGTAGAGTGTTATCCTCTAACGGACTCTTGGATTTAGTCCGTGAGCGAGGCTTATATAAACGATCAACTACAGATAAGCTTATAATTGGCGATTTAGAGTTGTTCATTCAGCAGGACTTGGCTGTCGCATGAAGATACATATATTTTGTTTCTACCGTTATACATCCTGGTCAGAGCACGTAACAAGCAGTACAGTTTCCGAATAAGCACTAGGCACACGTTCCTTAACCCAAAAAGACTAACAGGCTAAAACCCTATCATATGCTGTGTAGTCATCGTTAGCATCATGTTCGTCTATTAGATAATGGATAGAACAAACCTTATATGAATGGTTTTTGGCTCAAGATATTCCATCAATCCTGCTTTTCCCGATTCTCGGCCAGAACCACTGGCTTTTACTCCACCGAAGGGGGTCTCAACCTCGGGCGAGAAATTTTTGTTAACACCAACCGTGCCTGTTTTGAGAAGGGCTGATACACGGAGAGCTCTGGAGATATCTTGCGTATAGATAGAAGCATCTGAGGCGTCAGTAAACGTATGTTCAGGTCCAGGGATTAGTCTTACCTGAAAGGCCAAACTGCGTGTCATTAGCGAGAGAGATTGCCTCCTTCTCGGTTTGAAACGTTTTGACTACCAAGACAGGGCCGAATATTTCCTCGGTATACACTTTGCTCCCTGGATTTGGATTCAAGAAAATCGTTGGCTCAACAAAACAGCCCTCGTCGCCGATACGATTACCGCCACATATTAGGTCTGCTTCGATCTTTCCATCCTCAATGTAAGCCAAGACCCGGTTCATCTGGTCTTTGTCCGCAAGGGGACCGAACAATGTAGAGGAAGACTTCGGATCCCCAACCCTGGTGCGAGCCTCTTCAAACTGGCATCTTAGAGCCTCTATGAAGGTTGAAGCTATGTCGTCCTGAACATAGACCCTTGAAGTCGCTTATCAATTTGTTAGTCTGTACTCGCCGAAACCAAAGAGCTATACTTACCGACACAAACTTGGCCGGTATTAGCGAGAAACCCGAACGAGCAACTTTCATTTTAGTCAGCGTAGGCCTTTTGGAGAGCATAGTATAGCTGTGCAGTATATTTACCAAGCTAATGCCGTCGCAATGTGAGCATCGTTGAACACTATAGCTGCTGACTTCCCACCCAACTCCAGGACACACCGCTTGAGATTGCTTTTAGCTGCAGCTTCTTGGACCTTGCAGCCCGCGGTCACTGATCCCGTGAAGTTGATATGGGCAATACCCATATGTGAACCCAGTAGTTTGCCTGTTTGTGCCCCTCCCGAGACGAAGTTTATAACTCCTGGTGGAAAGCCGGCCTTACAGACCAACCGGCCAAGTGCCAGTGCACCAAAAGGGGCTTTCTCAGAGGCTTTGAAGATGCACTGTTTTAAAATTTAGACAAGAATTTGAGCTTGATCTGCAGGAGCCTTTACCGTATTCCCAGCAGCAAGTGCCGGACCCAATTTCAAGGCCACGTACCTTACCAACACAATGAGTAATGGTTGACTTCTGTAGAGGTGTGTACTTACAAAAAGGTCGCATTGAACGACGCTATCGAAGCGCAAACACCCAAAGGCTCATAAGCCACGATCTTGTAAATGCCATCTTCTGCTGGATAAGACTCCCCAGAAATCTTGTCTGCATAGCCGGCATAGTCTGGGCCGCGTAAGTAATGTAACCACCTCTCCATTGGCGTAGGAATAACTCACAGCGAAGGTACTTCGAGACTAGGGGCATCATAAATTCCACACCAGCCTTGGGAACCCCCATAGCCATGGTCTCTAATTGAAGGAGAGAGTCTGCATCACCTTCGATAAGGTCTGCTAGGCGGAACAAACATTTCCCCCTCTGTTGACCAGTGAAGCTGCTCCAGGGGCCAGTCTGAAATGCGACATTTGCTGCTACAACAGCAGTGTTGATATCCTCCTCTCCGGCAACTTGGAGGTCGTTGGTAATTGTTGAGTCATCTGTCGGGTTGCGGACAGTCAAGGTCGCCCCAGAGCGAGAGCGGACATACTGCAAAAGCCAATATATGTCAGAAGAACCAAGATATTAGAGAGCGCATAAATTGTAAAAATATATTACCTGATTGTTAATAAACAATCTCGTTTCAATTCGCGACATGCTCAGCGTAGTAGTATAAATTCACGCACGATTGCTCAGATGTAGATGAGACCAAAGTGAACAAGTCCGACATACACTGTTAGCAGAAATAATAGGCACTTTGCCTGGAGAAAAGGACACCAAGAGCAACTTATGATATTAAAGTACCAATTGTTGCCGGGCTAGTAGGCTGTGGGTTATACCATACATATAAAGTGGCGCCCCACTCAAAGTCCGCAACACCCAGGTCTCAAGGAATAGCGCAAAAGTTGGTGAGGGCGCCATCGCATATTGTGAGAGGAAAGAGTTAACTGCTACATATTCTGGGACACGCCCTCAAACTACCCTTCTTCTGCGGGGCCCCGCCGATAGCTCTCTTTTGCGTTTCCGAGCTGCCACGTTCTATCTACATATATAGCAGACGACGTTCACATCCTCCTTGCATCTGTAAACACCTCCGTACAAAACAACTCTCGCAATAAAGACCAAAACTTTCTTTTCCATCTTTACTCATTAGGGATTTAAACGCACTAAGTTGCTATACTCAGAAAACCATGGCAGTACCATTTCCTGACATCCCTTGGTTGCAAGGCTTTGACAAGCCTTGTCGTTTTGAAGGAGAAGTACGAAACCTCATTGTTCACGGCGAGGTCCCAAAACAATTGGACGGGACCTTCTTTCGTGTGATGCCCGATCCGCATATCTCGCCATCTTACCACGAGAATGGTATCCACTATATACCGTTCGATGGCGATGGGAATGTCAGTGCTTTCAGAGTCAAAGATGGCCATGTCGATTTCAGGCAGCAATATGTTAAGACAGAGAGACTTGTTAAGGAGAGGGAAGCACGGCAGTCTCTGTGGGGTCGATATCAAAATCCTTATACAAGTCATCCTTGCGTGAGGGCTGCGATTGAGAGCACAGCGAACACCAATGTTGTCTATTATCATGGAAATCTGCTTGCCTTGAAAGAGTATACACTCCCATACTCTCTCGACCCAGTGACACTAGAAACACGGGGGTACTGGGATTTCGACGGACAGATCTCTTCCAGGTCATTTACCGCCCATCCGAAAGTCGACCCTAAGACCCAAGAGCTTGTATGCTGGGGTACGCAAGCAAAGGGACCCGGCACAACGGATTGCTGTTACTTCGCCCTTGGCCCGGACGGAAAGAAGACTGAGGAGTGCTGGTTCCAGAATCCCTTCTGCGGGTTTCTGCACGATGCCGGAGTATCCGAGGACTACGTCGCTTTGATGCTCGTCCCAATGCGTGTTGACATTGAGAAAATGAAAAAAGGTGGTTTGCACTATTACTACGACCATGATCTGGATCTTCACTGGGGCTTAGTACCTCGACGGGGTTCCGATGCCACAAAGGTCAGATGGTTCACTTGGAAAAACAGTTTTCCAACTCATACGGCGAACGCCTACCAGGAAGTTGGACCAGATGGAGAGGTAGAGAAGGTCTTCGTCGAGACTGTACTGGCCCAAGGGAACGTGTTACCTTTCTTTCCTGAGGAAAATCGGAAGGACAATTCACCAACAATCAGTAACATCAAAATTCAGCTGGTGCGATTTTGCTTTGACCTGAAAGCTGAAGTGCCTACGGATGGAACGTACCAGCGACTGTCTGATCCTGAAGTACTTTTGGACCTCCCTTGCGAGTTTCCACGCATAGATGATCGATTCACGGGACAAAAGCAAAGGTTCATCTTCTGTGCTACTGCCCACGTCACTGGGGAACCGAACTCATTGAGCCTGGTTGGTTCTGCCGGTTTGAATTCCTATACGATGGTGGATTTATCCCTCGGGAAAGTAGAGCACTGTTTGTTTAGGCCCAATTCTTTGGTTCAGGAACCCTGCTTTGCTCCAAGATCAAAAGATGCTTCGGAAGGAGATGGCTTCTTGATTGGATTGGTTAATCGTCTGGACACCATGTTGACGGAGATGGTGGTAATTGACACCAAGAATTTCTCCAAACCGGTAGCGGTGGTAGAAGTTGGGCTTCGACTTAGGCAAGGTTTGCACGGTAACTGGGTTGAGGCATCTGAGATGGAATAGAGGAAATTGTTGAATATTAAGTTGATTACATTGTTGAAACCGGGTATTATACCACGATGATCATGTGGCCTCTGGTACCAGGCAGACCATACAAAAGTGCATACTACAGTTAGTCATCGATGTCCGCACAGATTGTTGAAATAGCGGGTTTTGTCATTTTGAGTCAGTTGGAGAGAATCATAATACAGTGCGAGTGTACTCATAGAGAAAAGACTGTATGTATTGAGTTGGACAGAGAGAGGAGAGAGAAAGGAGGAGAGAGAGCAGGTGTACTATCTACTATGGGTTCTATCACATTGTGATGCCTCAGGCATCCAACAAATCAATATATGTTTTATCAAAGCAATAGACCCCATTAGGCCCCTATAATAGTCCGTGGACTTTGTGGGCTCTGCGGAAGCCTAATATGGGTACCCGCGATAGGTATACCCGTAGGCGATAAGCGTTATAGACGAGCAATGTCGCAGTCTACGCAGCACTCTTAACCAAAACGCCATTAAATTAAATAATTAATTCTAATAAAATCATTTATCTAGCTAGGCATCTGTTAAAGTCTGCAGAGTAGATGGGATCATGAAGGTATAACAATCTATGCATTGTGTTGATGTATGTTGAAGATGAAGGGAGTACTAAACTACTATTATAGGAAGTATGACTTCCGCAAAGCCCAATTTTGGTCCCACGACCCGCAGCGAGCTAGGCTTCTTGAGCTCGACCCGGACGTTGTCGACGCGCCCCATTCCACAAAACTATAGTCTTAGCATTTATAAAGTAGCTGAATGATGCTAAATAAATGGCTATCTTTTACCCATATTCTAGTTTATATATAGAGTTATACCATATTATCCTAATAAGGAATAGGAAAGGAAATATTATTCGACCTGAACACAACAAAAGAACCTTGAGAAAAACAATGTTGCATCTTTTAGCCCAAAGTGTTTGAGAAGGCAATAATATTGTGGAACCCGAGAGCAATATGTACTATGAAGCTCAGATCATTTCTCCATTTCAGGCTGCCCCATATGAAGGCGGCAGAGCCAAGACCATTGTGGACTATAAACCCGGCAAAGGACCCCACAGAGTGTGGGACGCAGACTTCGAATTCAGACCACAAGCTTAATTACTGTGAACTTGTTGGAATCCATAGTGTCTCTACTCGGAATATTCTCGCCGTTAACGGTTGCTCTGCTGCTATTCCTGGCTGGGAATCTGATACTCAGAATACTATAACCGTGTACAGGTGCTTCCAATCTTGAAGCTAATGGCTCAGTGATCTAAATAGAAGTGCTACACTCTTCGTCAAATGAGAGAGGATATAGTTGAAACCCATTCTTGAATCGTATACTATGACATTTAGTAGATTTAAACCAGCATTCAAATAGACTGCACAGACCATGTGTTTTCGGCTCTGAGACATCACGGACCATGGTAGTTAATATATATTCTATCTCGCTAGATCTATTGTAGAAGCACGATAAATGACTTTGTTCGCTCCATTAACTAAACATTAGATAGTTATGAGATTCATCTCCAAGCAACTCGACTTAGCATGTCTATTAGTAAGCAGCATTACTCCAGCCCTCTAAGGCTGAGGTCGAATTTTAGATTACTTCGAAGCGAAGCATGACAAGAAGTAAAGGGAAGCGGATAAATATCCGCTTTGGGTGCATGCTTATATGTCGCTAGTAGCTCGTACATACAGTAGGAGGTCTTGTGCCGTTTGTGCCGTGTGCCTCTTTAACATAGCCCGGAGTACATAGTCTTAGACAAGGTACTAGGTAACTAGAATTGAGAACTCGTTTGAGCCAAGTCAACTCAAAAAGAACAAGCAAGGCCATAAAAAAGGCGAAAAAAAGGCGAAGATAGAACAAAAAACCAAAAGAAACAAGCAAGGCAGCTGTTAGTGGTCAATGTTAGTGGTCAACGCGGGCTCCACTCGGCCGTCATGCGCATTTCGAGCTGAAATCTCTTTTAACCAGATCGGCAGTCCAGTGCAGATATAAGAATCCTTCCCTTTCGCTTGGATATATTATTGAGTTGCATTTATTATGCTGTCGAGGATACCACTATACACCCAGACTTTATAGAAGACAATCCGACCCTAAAAGCAAGAGAAAAAAGAGTGTCATCGCCTAGATACCTCCGTTTCCATCCCCCACAAAATCCCCGCACCAACCGTCCTCTCCAAATAACGGCCTCAGGATCACAGATCCCAGCATGGTCACTCCGAACCTTGATTCGGCCTCAGAAGCCGGCCAATACCAGGATCATCCAGATGCACCCCTGCCGATCCGAGTGGAGCAGTCGGGATCAAGCTCGATATCGAAGCAAAGATCGTCTTCAACGCAAACGCAATTTCGAGACGACGATGAACAAAACTACAACTGTGAAAGCGATAGTGAAGCCGACACCGAACCAGCATTGGCGCAATCAGAACCCCGTCCGATCGAGGATGATGAAGATGACGAGACTATCGCCATTGCGGCTTCGCGACCCCGCCATGCATGGCAGGTCTGGTGGTTACGCAATAAGGGTATGGGACTTGTCCTGCTGGCACAGGCTTTCGCTGCCTCGATGAATGTCATGACCCAGGTTTTGGAGATTCATAGTTCTATGCATCCTTTCCAGGTAAGAGAGAAAAGAAAGAAAAACCCCAAAATATCATTTCGCATCCATCCGATCTACAATTCTATATCACCCAACTGCAATTCTATAAAACGTCTCCCCAACTAACAGCAACCCCCAGATTCTCTTCGCCCGCATGTCCATAACAGCTGTCGCAAGCTACTTATATATGTTCCTCGCATCAACACCCTCCCCACTCGGCACACGTCCAGTCCGCGGTCTTCTCCTCCTCCGCGCCCTCTTCGGTTTCATGGGTGTCTACGGCCTCTACTATTCCGTGCAATACCTCCCCCTCTCCGAGGCAACAGTTATAACTTTCCTCTCGCCAATTAT